CAAAGAAACTTTCGTCATAAAAAATCAAAGGTGGGTAACAGAGAACTCAGAAATCTCTCTTCGTCTATCAACTATGAAAAGCGTAAGCATCTCATGGAACATTAGGGGCATGGGCTCATGGAAAAAAAGAGCCCTCATAAAACAATCCATCTCCCTTATCAATCCAAACGTGGTGATCTTACAAGAGACTAAACTTGCATCCATCGACCACAACACTGTAAAATCTATCTGGAGCTCTCATGGTATCGACTGGACAACCCTTAATGCTGAGGGATCGGTCGGAGAAATCCTTATCCTATGGAATAATTCAAACTTCACAATGCTTGAGATTATAGAAGGTGTCTACTCTCTTTCTATCCATTTTTGTTTAGCTGATGGCTTTGCATTCTGGTTAACAGGAATCTATGGCCCTTCCACTCCCAAGTTCCGACACCTCTTTTGGCAGGAACTTCATGATCTGTCTTATTTATGCACCAACCAATGGATTTGGCAGGTGACTTCAATGTCACCAGATGGTCTTGGGAGAAATTGAATGGTAGACCCCTTACAAAGAGAGTATGCGTCTCTTCAATGCTTTCATTACAGACACTAATCCATTGGACATCTCACTAAGCAATGGAAAGCACACATCGTCTAATTCCATCTCCTTCTCGCTTATAGACAGATTCCTCATTACCGAGGGGTGCCTTCAGAAATTCGACCAACCTATGGCTAAAAGAATGGAAAAAACCACTTCAGACCACTTCCCCATTTTGCTAGCATTTGGTGAGAACAGCTGGGGTCCGACTCCCTTCAGATTTGAGAATATGTGGCTTACTCATGCTTCCTTCCAACCTAAGAAGCACGAACACGAATACGGGACACAGACACGATAGGACACGGCGATACGTCAATTCCTAAAAAATTAAGACACGGACACGTTGGGGATGCATTTATTTATTTTTTAATATTTTTTTAGGATATATGTAAATTTAACACAAAAAATGTTTTAAAAGTCCTTGTAATTTTTTCTTGTAAAAAAAAAGAAGAAAGTGACAGAAACAAAACGCAGGAACTAAGAAAAATAAAGTTTAAAATTAGTGAAATAAAATGGTCAAAATTCAAAAAGCAATTTAAAAAATAAGAATTGTTTGTAGTATATGAAAATGAAAGAAAAACAAAGGGTTGAAAAAAAAAGTTAGGTTATTAGAGTTCACCTAAGAAGCAAAAAAGAAAAACAGAGGGCAGGGCGGTGTTCGCTGCGGCGGCAAGGGCGAGCGATGGCGTCAGCGTCAGTGGCGGCGGCAAGGGCGAGCAGCGTCGGCTTCGTGGAGTGGGTGGTGTGTTTCATTTTTGTGGGTGGGTATTAGGTTATTGATCATTTATTTGTTTTTTTTTTAATTACTAATGGGCATTGGGCCTTCTTATTTGGGCTCAGAAAACCCACAAAACGGTCATCCCGCGTCCATCCCATGTCCAGCCGTGTCTGATTTAAAAAAAAAAAAATCAGACACGCATCCGACATGTGTCCGGGCGTATCCATGTCAGACACGTGTCCGACACAGATACTTCGCCCAAAAATGTGTTCGTGTTTCCTAGCTTCCAACCCTTCCTCCAAACATGGTGGCAAAGTAGGCTAGCTGGGTCATGGCATCATGATTAAACTCAAAACCTTCAAAATTGCCTTGAAATCTTGGAGCACTAAGCACTTCGGGCGACTGCATACACAAAGGGCGGAGCTCCTTAATACCATCCGCACCATTGATGGTCTTGAAGGTATCTCCCCTCTTTCCACCTCTCAAGTTTTAAACAGAAACAAACTAGAGACGACCTTCTTACTTTGGCCTAGGAGACAAAAATGCAAGCAAAAATGCCTCATGGAAGGGGATGAAAACACAAAATACTTTCACAGATTTCTGGCCAACAAAAGGAGGAGAAGCACCATCTCTAAAATTCTTTCTAGGAACGGATCTAGCTTGACTCGGATTGAGGATATAGAGCAGGAATTCCTCACTTTCTACAAATCATTATACACTTGAAAGGAGGGACGCCGATACTGCCCATTAAATCTGCAATGGGACCCTATCACAACGAAGGATTGCTCTATGTTGGAACAAGCATTCACTAAAGAGGAAGTTTACAAGGCAGTAAGCAGTTTAGGCACAGATAAAGCACCTGGACCGGATGGCTTCACTATTGAATTTTTCAAAAAAGCATGGAACATCATTAAATCTGATATTATGATGATGTTCCAGGATTTTTTCAAAAATGGCATCATCAACAAAGCCTTGAATGAGACTTACATTTGCCGCATCCCGAAGAAAGTCGGTGCTAAAACTGTCCACGAATACAGACCCATCAGCCTTATGCCCTGTGCCTATAAAATCCTTGCTAGAGTACTCTCTGATAGACTCAAGAAGGTCCTTCCACACACCATCACAGAGTATCAGTCAGCTTTTGTAGAGGGCAGACAGATCACGGACTCATCACTCATTGCTAATGAAATTATTGATGACTAGAATTTAAGAAAGATGGAGGGTGTTGTGATAAATCTTGACATTGAAAAGCTTTTGACAAGGTGGATTGGGATTTCTTAGACACGGTCTTGCATAAAAAAGGTTTTGGATTAAAATGGAGGAAATGGATTCGGGCGTGCATCTCAACAACCAGCTTCTCCGTCATCATCAATGGCAAACCTAGGGGCAAATTCACAGCCACTAGAGGCTTAAGGCAAGATGACCCATTATCCCCCTTCCTTTTCATCCTTATTACTGATTGTACTTAGCTGTTTTCTTATCCATAGAGGAAATTGTGGTCATCTTAAAGGATATGAATCTCGGGATGGCTCCATTAAGATTAATCACTGACTTTTTGCTGATGATACTCTCCTTTACACCAGCAAAGACCCAAGAGTGTCCAAAACATCTATTGAGTCATCAAATTCTTTGAAGCAGCTTACGGCCTCAATATTAACTACAACAAGTTTGAAACTCTGGGTGTGTCCTTGCCCCCTGATACCCTCTTTTGCATTGCTACGGCTTGGGGGTGCAAACAAGGCTCTTGGCCTTCCACATACTTGGGTCTCCCTTTCAATGGAAACCCCAACAGAGACTCATTAGGGCTGCCAATTGTAGAAAAATTACAGCATCGACTTACTAAATGGAGCAACTTCTTTATCTCAAAAGGAGGGAGACACACTATTATTCAATCGGTTCTTTCTAATCTTCCTACTTATTACTTATCACTTTTCAGTCTCACAGGACAAGCTTCCAAAAAGATAGAAAAAATCTTGTGAGATTTCTTATGGGAAGGACCACGATCCAATGGCACCCTACACTTAATCAATTTGAACAAAGTACAACTCCCAATTACTGAAGGGGGTCTCAACATTGGCAACATCAGAAATAGGAATCAAGTAACGTAATAGGGCAGGGAGTAGTAGAAAAGTGGGGTTTGTTAGAAAGAATCATTCTGGTTGTTAGTGCCAAAAGGTAGCTAGGGAGAGATTATCCACCCTCTCAAATTGGTGGGGTTGTATTTCCTACGGGCTCTATTCGTTATTTTCTAATACCAAAAGTGAGTGAATCCTCACACTTTTGCAAAGCAGAAAATGGATCTTAGAGGAGAGAGCCATATTTTTATTCACTGCCAGTTTTCCTTGAAATCTGGTCGCTTTTCTTGGATGCTTTTAATTGGTCCCTCGGAACCCCTCACAATGTTCAAGATTGGTTGTCATTTATTCTTAAAGATCACCCATTCTAGCAGGAGAAAAGGTCTTTGTGAATGAACGTAACTAGAGCTTTTGTTTGGGTAATGTGAAACAAACGCAACGCTTGGATTTTTCAAGACAAAGATGAAGCCCTTATAGATGCCATCCTCTTCTTGGCTTTATATTGGAGTAAAAATGGGCATTTTTTGTAATTACAGCTTAAACTCACTCTTATCCCATCGGAGAAGTTATTTTTAATCCTTTGGACGGGTTTATTCCATTCGTAACATTTCATATTATCAATAAAATTGTTTCCTATCCAAAAAAGAACTCTATTGTTGCAGCTAACCTATCTACCTTTATCTCTAGCAAAGCTATCCTTGATTCCATCCTTTTGGCCAACAAAATTTTGGACTACAAGATGATTAAAAAATAACCTTGCCACCTCTCCAAATTGATGCATAGCGTATAGAAAAGATGCTGAATCCCAAGAGCACTTATTCATCTGTGACATTTTTAGGCATATACATACCTTTTTGCTGGAACATCCTTTAAAGGAGGAGAAATAGATCCTTTGGATGCAACTTATTAGAGCCTTCCTTTGGAGTCTATGGATAGAGAGAAACAACAGGCCTCTCCATAGTAAATTTCAGCCTTTTCATAGATCTATTTATGGTGTCTTTGTAATGGCTCTTGGCTGATGTATGCATGTTTTCTCCCCTCTTACAGATTATAGCTTAAATGATCTCGTGATGAGTTGGAGGGGGATAGCCCTCTTTTCCTAGGGGTATCATGAATTGATGAAAATTTTCATTTTTTTTTTTTTTCTGATACAACGGGGGTGGGGTTCGAACTCATGACCTCTTGGTCAGAGATAAATGCCTTAACCACTTGAGCTATGCTCGGTTTGGCAAAAAAATTTCATATTGTTAGCTTAATATTTATGTGATTCTTTTGTAATTATAGGCCCCTCACGATTTTGTATGGTTGGAAGGTCTTATTCCAGTTCTTTTTTCTTTTGGGGGTGCGGAGGTGACCTCTATCCCAGCCCATAGGCTGTCGTTGTTCCTCCTTTTGTTTAATGTGATTATCTGTTTCTTCTAAAATGTATATATTATGTGATTCTAATTATTAAAATAAAATTGAAAAAAATCATGTTGGACATTTTAGCTAACAGAGGATTATGCTATACTATAGTTCATAGGATGTGGTACGAGCTCCCAAATGATTTAAAATTTCGATTTTAATATCTTCGGTAGGAAAGATTCACTAACTCTGAACTAATCTTCTAAACAAAGCAATAGCTTCCTACCTTCGGTCTTGGAGTAATGGCTTCAAAACTATGGATGATTGGAACGTCCAAGTTTGGAGGTTCAAGAACAATATATGCACCTTTATTTTTGTACCTCTCCTCGGTAGCCTGCAAGGGAAGAAACAGAAAGAGAAATAGTTATCTCACTTCAGATGAAATGAAAGGCAAAATCAAGTATTCGTTTACCAAGATATCCAAGTGACTGGAAACGTTGACTAGTGAAGCAGTCAATTGTTGAATTTTGGTAGCATTTCTGGATAACGGCTTTTTTTTTTTTTAAGGAAACAGAACCTTCTCATTAAGAGGGAAGACAGAAAAAACAGCATTTCTGGATAAGGTTGTGTACACATGTGAATCAAAACCTGTCTCCTTGTTTTAAAAGAATAAACCACAACCTAATTTTTTCACTCATATATATTTCTTCATCAAATTTATTTAAAGATTATATATATGAAGGGGAAAATCTAAAAAGGCTGCCTCAAAGTATAAGCCTTAAAAGCCTTTTAAACCGAAACTCTTAAAACTCGAAACAACCAAAGGCATGGAACATGAACTTCAGAAGGAATCTTAAAGAAGATAAAATTGAAGAATGGGCAACTTTATCCTCTTTATTATCCCCTTTCTGCTTTTCTGACATAAGTGATATATGGCTTCGGAACCTAGAAAGACATGGAGAATTCACTGCCAAATCATTGACTCATGCATCATCATTAACCTCCCCCACGAGAAATGACCCTCCCCCAATGTCTCTTTACAAAGCTATCTGGAAAGCATCCTTACCCAAAGAATATCAAATTTTTAATTTGGGAACTTAATCACTCATCCTTAAACTCTTTCGATAAGCTTTAAAGAAGATGTCTGTTGGATTTATCAATATTTGTGTAAATATTAGTCGTTAATATTTAGTCTTTATTGTTGATATTTAGTCTTTATGGTAGTTATTGCTTTCCTTATTTGTAGTAGGTCATTCTCCTATATAAGAAGACCTAAGTTACATGTTTGAATAGGGGCAAATATTTTTATTCATTCAAATTTACAATGTCCATGGGGGTCTATCTCTCCTTCATGATGCTGTTATGTAAAGCGGACTGTGAATCTCAATATCCTATCTTCATAGATTGTCGCTTCTCCTCCAAAATCTGGAAGCATTTTTTATCAATAAATGATGGAATTTCATCTCACAAAACAACAGAAGGGACTGGTTAGCATCATCTTTCCTTCATCATCCCTTTAAGCACAATAAGGTTACCCTTTGGCTACAAATCAATAGAGCATTCATGTGCACCATTTGGAGAGAGGAATTATAGACTTTTTGAGGAAAAAGAACACTCCCTCCAACACTTGTTAGACTCAATATCCTTTTTTGGCTATTACATGGTGTAAAAATGATACACCTTTCAACAATTATAGCTTGAACACTCTTGTATCCAGTTGGAGAAGTTTTTTATAACTTCATTAGATAGGGTTTCTCTTTTGTAAATCTCATACATCAAAGAAATTGTTTCCTATCCAAAAAAAATCCTTTTAAAACATTGATGATAATGATTCCAATTGAGACTTATTTAATATGATCAGAGTTTTTCAAGTTTTGTTAGACTTTAAGGTGATGAACTATATACAGTTGTTGGAAAGTGGTGTGAATTGTACTTCGTCAAGATTGATGGAGTGGAGATAGCATGAAAAATGGGTTATAAATCTCCTTTTTCAGGACTCCGTGTTGGTGTTATTTGAGGGAAGCAGCAAAGGATATCGATCACCTCCTTGCCAGCTTGCTTTTTGTTTCAAGCTTTTGAGGTTTGCTCTGCTTGCACCATAGAGTGTAGCTGAATGTTGGAGGAAGTTCTCTTCACCCTTCTTAGGGATAGGGGTGGTTTTTGTGGTAGGGTAGGCGGGTTTATTAGCTATTTGTGGGTTTGTGGAATGAGTGGAACAACAAGATCTTTAAAGGGGTAGAGAGATCTTGGGAGGAAGTTTGGGCCTTGCTCGATTTTACGCTTCCCTTTGGGCTTCTGTGCTCAAAATTTTTTGTAATTACTCTTTACAGGAGCCCATTACTTTAGTTCAACTCATTTTGTTTGGCTATCTTTTTGTAATTCCCTTTTGTATTTTTTCATTCTTCTTAATAAAAGCATGTTAGGATCCTGAATACACTAAACGAAACTAGGTAACAATGTTGCAATATCAAAAGACGTTATAATATCAATAGCCTTTCAAGAAGGCTATCTCTCTTCCAAGAACCATGCTAAGTTCTTCACCTTAAACTAATTCCCAAAAGATACCCCTCTTATCCCTGCTACCTCTATTTATAATAAACTCGCCTCCTAACTAATTACCATAACACCCCTAACTAATATACTAATACTATTACCAAACTATCCCATTAGGACTCTCACATTACCCCGCCCTTCCAAGACACCTTGTCCTTGAGGTGGTTACAAACACTAAACAAAATTTTCATACTCACGACCCAATCTATGTTAACAAAGATGATGACCCTACATATAATCCTAAACTTCAACAATGACACCATCATAGGGAACCACGGCTCTTCATTGTCCCCCACGCACCCAACTCCATCTCGATGATTATCGACTTGTGTTCCTTATCTTTCTGTTTCTTTTCTACTCTGTTTGCCCTCTTTTTTCATCTCCTTTTTTATTATTATTATTTTTTTTTAGTACAACAAGTGGGGTGGGAGAATTCGAACTCATAAACCTCTTGGTTAGAGATAGGTGCCAATTACCACTGAGCTAAGCTCATGTTGGCATCTCCTCTTTTATTTTTGTAATCTCTTTTCTCATTTCTCTGAAACCTTGGGCAATGGATTCCCACATAGATCGGAACATCAAGTCCACTTCCTTCATCAGTTGCTTCTTTAATTGGTCCATTTCTTCACGTAAAATCGTCAACATCCCTTCACGTAAAACTTCATCTATCTCAAATTCCATTGCAGCTTTGATACCAAATTGATAGAATCCAAACTAGAAATATATTGAAATATAAAAGATATAAAACTACAATATCTCCCAAAGTAATTTGAGGTACTTGGATCCTCCCCTCTCTTGAGTCTTCTTACTCGAGCCTAAACCAGTCTACTAATTGCCTGCTTTCATCTTTAATCCCTCACCCTATTTATAACCAAACCCCTAACCAAATAATTTAAAGGCATGTTTGGTTTGAAACTCAGATTTTGTTTCTTGTTTTCAAATTCATTGTATTCAGTGAATATGAGTTTTGCAAGGTTTGAGAGATTCGTTTTTTTAAACTGTTTTCAGATTCTATGATCCAAACAATAGAAACTCTGAAAACGACTTTTTTATGTTTTCAGTGTTTTCAGATTTATAATTTGAAATTTTTAAGATACAGAATTACATTGAAAATGATAAAAACTTTGATAAATATATTACTTCATATTATAAACTTATTTTATGTTTGTTAAAATTAAAACATATAAAATATAATGTATTCTAAATTATATAACGTTGTAAAATAATAATTATACAAAATTCATTAAAAAAAATGTTAATAAATTAATTAAAATTATTTTAGATTAAACTAAATATTTAGTTTGTAACTACTTCTAGTTTGCAAATATATTACTAAACACACATTGGACAATTTTTTAAATTGAGATTCAATTACCAAATCTGCTATCAAACACATATCTGAAAACACTGAAAACACATAGTACAATTTTGGTTTTCATTGAATCCCTTGTTTTCAGATTTCTGTTTTCTGATTACCAACCAAACACACCCTATTATACTCTTAATACCCTAATAATATCCCCAATTATATCCTAATAGTAATCCAATCACGTGGCTTTTCATTAGTTTAAATAAAATTAAAAAACAAAAAGGTTATAAGTCTGAAACTATTACCTTTTTCTGATCAAAGTTCGATGGAAATCCAAATAGTTATACAATTTCAGGATCCAATTATGGAAAGAATTCAACGGAAGATAAGTGTACGGAAAAAGTTTTTTCCTTCAATGGTGGGGGATGGACTTAATGTAATGTTTGGCGTTAGAAAATTTGTCATCTTGGGTAAAAATAGATCGAGGCCAACAATAATTTTCTTGTGTAAACAGCATTCAGAGTACAATACATTTTGACTAGGTAACATGTAATATTCTACAACTACCATGATCCAGATCATTTACAGACATAACACCACATAAAGTTGTGACACTGATTTTTGATCTGGCAAGCGGATGGATAGAAAACCTATCCCTTCAAGCTGAGTTTAAACATACAAAACAGAACTTGCAAGAAAGACAAATATGCAAAATAAATCAATACCTACCACGAGACTAAGAGATAAAGATCCGGTCAATACCTGAAATTGTGGATAGTCAGGAGCACTAAACAAAGTAATCAGCTTCCCAGAATCTACAACATGATCTATTGTGTAACCCTGATCCATCCCTGCAAGACCGGACCTTTTTTCTCTAGCATCAGGACCTTCATGGGATCTGATAATTAACTAGACAACAAAAGGAAAATTATAAGGATACCACTTGAAGTATCATTTATTGACCAAAGCCTTTTATTCATTTTACTAATGTCATAAAAGATATGTCTAGAGTATCGTTGGCTGTGTCCAACGGTATATGCTATGTTAGTTGACAAGTAAAGAGTCAGGCAATTGGACATGTTGTTACTTGTTAATCAATGGGTTCAGGAGAATAAGGTTGAATAAGAGGAAAGGGAGGAAGCAAATCGGGAATGTAAGAACAGAACAAGCCACTCAAACGCTTGACAACCTTGACCAACATTGTTCCTAGGTTTTTTCTCTATTTCTATCGACTTTAAAATCAGAGCAGCAAAATCACAATGCGAAAAGGAAAAGAACATGGAAAAGCAATCTGTGAAGGATAGAGTGAAGACATTTACAGAAGAGGAGACAGAATGCAGAGAATCTTGGAAATAGAAAGGAAAATTGGAATGCTTGGAAGGGATGGAGGAGGAAACCAGCAAGCAATCAAAAACTCTAGAAACATATCATGAAGCTTAGATCTATGTTTCAAGCTTCTACATCTACAAGAACAGGAGAAGGAAGCAAAACATATTTCTGAAAACATAAATGGCTATTGCCTCAACCCTTCATGCAGTGTTTTCCCATGTCATTTAGAATATCACAAGTCAAGGAAACTTCAACCTACGAAAATTGGAAGGGACGACAATGCCAGATGGAACATTTTTTTTCTTTTATAAGAAACTGAGAATTCCATTATCAAGGAGAGCCACTAACAAAATAATGGGAAAAGCAATCCCCAAAGAGCCAACAGTTACAAAAAAGACTTCCAGTTGGCATTAAAATTCACAAAGCTGTAGTTACAAAACAACTTGTCAATTAGACACCAAGATGATGCAAAAATATGAACAAATTTCCAAAAACACTCCGTAGAAGTTTCTTTTTCTTTGAAGACTCTCCGACTCCTTTAAAACTACATCCTCTAAACAGTGGCTGCAACAACATTACGCCAGATAACCTACTTGTTGCTAACATTATAACCTCCGATGAATTATTATGATTGAAAAAAGAGATATATTTGGCACCGTGTAAAAATTCAAAGTAGTAAGTCAATCCTGTTGCACCATACTAACAACGTCCATGCAAACATTTTGCTCGTAAAAAACATGCATGCAATTGGAGATGTTTTCTATAACTCCCTTGATCTCAATTGTTCCTCTCTTGTAATTTCATGATATCAATGAAATTGTTTCTTAGAAGAAAAAGATAAAGATAATAGAAAAAATAAAAGGTAAGAAACTTGCATGCAAACAATTACAATGATTAAAACAGATGATTTAGTAGTGTTGAAATCACATCTAATCGGCTTGCACAATGCAAAATTCTTGCTTTTGTCCAACTAAAGGTAAACTAAAATAAGCTCAAACGCATGCAACCAATTGGCTAAGTGAGAACCTTCCCCGCATCCACCCATCCCAAACCCACATTCACCACCAAAAAAATATTCCTCATAATTTTTTCCAAGCTCTTACTCACAGACACTGAGATTTTAAACAGCCAAATATTAATTATCAAACACAATTCCACATATCGACCACTCCGTACTCCAGAACATTCTATAGTTGAATAATTTTGAACTTAGTATTTAGCATTTCAAACAAGAATTTTGACCCCATTGACTGCCCTTTGCCACCGAGACTTGCATAACAATTCATTAAAGAAAATTTTGCATTAAAAATATATCTTTTTTTATAAGAAACAATTTCATAGAAGATATGAAGCACAAAAAAATGGAAGAAAGTCAAGCCCCAGAACAAGGGAGATTTGCATTAAAATATGTCTTTTAACAAGTAATAGAGATATCATATCCAAAAACGCACACACATTGTTAAAATTAACCTAGAAAGCAATGTGTGTTAATATTACCTTCAGGCCGAATTTTTTCAAGAATTCTTCAGTGCAATCAGGACCCCACAAAAGACCTATGCCTCGCTCTCTATTTGGGGAGAGACCAGGATTCATCGAGGGATCGGACCACAGCACATCACCAGGTATTAAATTCAAGCCTTCCCATGGGGGATCAAGAACCGATCTTCTGGCTTTGGATAGTTCCTCCAAAGAACCAAGAGACAACCCGTTGGCCTCAGGATTTAAGCTTATTCTGCGATTTTTTTTCCCTTTTGATCTTTTAGATGAAGGAACTGATACGCTGCGGAAAAGTCCTCCATGAGCTGTATATACACATCCCGCAATAATGGAGGCCAGAGGCAGCCCTTCGAAACATCCCAAACACTTCCGATAGACATGCTTACCTTTGTCTCCGTACTTCGTTAGCACTTCCTTCTCAAAACCATAAACGGACGTGCAGTACTTGGACTCGTGGTTTCCACGAAGAAGAAATACTCGATGTGGCATGAACACCTTTAGACATTACCCAGCAAAATTTAATCAAATGAAAACGCCCTGTACAAGGCAAGAAACACTACAAAGTAGCAAGGATATATGTGATGCCATATTTTTCTTATTAGTGGGAGAATTAGTAGGTGGAGTTGATAGAGATTGGAGAGAAACTAGTGAGAGAGAATTGAGCAGCAGGCCAGATGCTTTGGCTTAAAAGTAAATAGTTGATACTAACTTTGGCTTGAAGCCAAGGTGCGAAAGAGAGGGAGAGAATTAAAATGAGTCCATAAAAAAAAAATTACCTTCCAAGCCAATAAGAGCAGAAATGTTTCCAGCCCCCAAGCCCCTCTGTCGACGTAATCCCCATTGAAGACAAAAAATCGATTTTCAGAAGGAAAGCCAGCATCCTGCAGGAGAAAGAGGAGATCATGAAACTGACCGTGGATGTCTCCGACAACGACTACAGTGGAGTCAGTGCTGGCGACGGAGTCTTCGAGGATTCTGAGGCAATTGGGTTCCTTATGGAGGATTTTAGAAGCGGTGAGGATTAGAGTGTCGAAAACGGAAACGGGAAGGACGGAAGGAAACTGGGATGGAGGTAGATTCTTGGAAGACCAGTCGAAGGCGGCGGTGAGATGGTGAATCCATTGGAGGGAGAGGGTGGCATCGGGAGGCCAAGAAAGAGGTAAGTGAACTGGAGGTGGAGCGGAAGAAGGTGAAGATGATGTGCAGGGATTTTCATCGGATTCAGAGATGGTGGAGGAGGTGGAGGGGGGATCCATGGGTGCCGCCGGAGTGGATGAAATATGAGTACCCAAAGCTGAAGAATCCAAATCCGAATGCTGCGACTGCGACGACATTGTTATCTTCTTCTGAGAAGAGATCTGGCATGGAACCAAAGCCCTAGCGATTGCAAGCTTTCCATTTCTATACTCTTTACTCTTTTGAGTCTTAACTACTACGATCTGCGAATGCGAGTGCGTGCCCCCTGCCCTGCCTCGCTTCCGTAATGCATTCGCAAATAATTATTTCAACAGCTAACGCCCACAACAACCATTTCAGTCTTTTGTTTTTTATTTTTAATTTTCTATACTATGATAACTATTTTTTATTTTTACAAAAATAAAAACCAAACATATTTAATTATTACTTTTGATTTTCTATTTTTAAAAAATCAGAAAGTTTAATAGACAGGCTAGAAAAAGAGAAATCTATATAAAACAATGAGATGGGGAGATACCCTCCTCTTTTCATATCCACTCCAGTTCAGGTTGAGAAAAGCACGTCCCAAGCGAATGAGGACACGAAATGGAAAATAGTTCAACTATTCGAAACAGTCAAATCGAGAGAACAAGCAATCGACTACTTGGTTGGTCCYGGATGCTTGTTCCACCCCAGGAACGACCAGCTATACTTGTTCAATTATTGAGTACACATGTACTAAACTTAGCACAAGCATTTTCGACATGCTCGACCGCCGGTCGGATGCAATGTCATATACTCAAACCTATAAATTGGGGCCCACCACTTCTTTGTGCATGTCCTTCCTTGTCCGAAAGATCTATTAAATCACTCTCGTTCTCATTCACGGGAGTGAGAGATCAAACTCACAACTTTAGATTGTGGATATATGTCAAATATCGATGAACTATGCTCACTTTAACCTCATTCACTTGGTTGTCCAAGCATAGTTGGTAATTAGTTTTAAAATACTTTTAAAATTGGCCTAAACCCCAATGGATTGTTTTATTAATAAGATCCATGTGGCTGTGGTTGGGTCTGGCTGCACGTGCGAGACGAGAAGAGATCTGTATTCACCGCAGCAGAGAAAGAGTATACCACACCGTACGTCAAAATCTACTGCATCTCTGACTATTTTCCCACTACTTTTTCAAAATTGGATGCATATATAAAGTATAAATAATCATATTCATTATTCCGCGTCCGCGTGGAGTTCCGTTTCAAATTTCAACCATTTCAATTCAGACTTCAGAGACGAGACGAACTCCATTTTATTTTAATAAAGTCCGAGTCGGGAGTCGGGAGTCGGAGCAGCTTCCAATTCAACCCCACTATTCCAGATTCCCGATTGCAGTGCTGCAACAGTCAGGGCCGCGCCGACGTCGTTTTCAAATGGAGCCTATTTCGTATGAGAGGATTATTGGTAAAGGAAGCCGAAGGCGTTCCCAATCGGCACGGGGCTTCCGCCTCAACTCTAGAAGATTCTCCGTCTCCAGGCTCCGGGCGAAGTTTATGTGCCTGCTGAGGATCTTAAACAAATGGCGCCGATCGATTAAGAAGATGAGGAGATCAAAGGCGGAAGTGGCGGAGTTTCCGTGGTGCACCGATCGCCTGAGATCGTTCCGCCGCTCCAACTCCTTCTACGCCGAAGCCATGGCGGATTGCTTGGATTTCATCAAGACCAACACCTCATCATCCCTCTCCGTCGCCGTTGATCAACCCATGGTTGAATTCCGCCATCCTTCGCCTTAACAATTTCCTCTGTTTTTCCTTTTTTTTCCCTTATTCAGAAAAGAAAAATAGGCTCGCCCACGCTACAACCTGCACATATTTCCTAATTATCTCATCAATCCATGATCATCCAAATCATATTTCTACGCAAATTAGAATAGGATGCTGCACATCTTCTGCAAATGCAATCATTGCAGTTTTTTTTTTTACTTGTATAATATTATTTAAAATCTTTCCTTTTCACATCTCAATTGATCGGTTATTATTTTAAGTCAAATTCATTTATATAATCGATTTTGCATCATAAAATCATTTTAGTTATTTTTCGGTAGTCCCTTGCACGGCAAAATTGCCTGCCTGGACGGCCTAGTGAGTCTAATTGATTCAATTTCCAAATTTCTGCTATTATTATTTAACAAGCCTATACAGTGTAGGCAGTCGACACACGGCATCACATCACTTTTATTTATCTCGAAACAAATAAATAACATAATTTGTAGATCGATTTTAATTTGTTAACATGTTATTGTGGTGGAAGTTTCGATATTCGATTTGTGGTTGTTTAATCTTGTCTATACGATTGAGTATAGAGGAGGTTTGTGTAAGACTATTGAATTTTATTATATTTTATTGAGAGTTTGGTTGTGGATGTGTGTTTAATTTAACTTGACTAAGAGTATTAGTTGGAATGAGATGAGGAAAAAGTGGGGTTGGATGAGTCGATATATAATTTTGGAAATGAATATGTGGTACAGTAAAGCTCCGTGATTACGCCACCTACTCCATTTCCATCTTTTGACTAATGCGTTTCCAACACACCAGGCTCGAAAATTTGTAATTGTATTTTGTTTTTTGTTCTAATAAAACTTTTTTCTTCTGCTATTGACAGTGACGTCATATATTAGTCCAATTAATTTTAGATGAATATGCATTTGCATAAAACAAAGGTAGGCTAAATAATCAATTTAAAAGGTATTGTGTCAGCCCATTCCATCACTTTTTTTTTTCCTAACAATTATTTTAGTCTTATATTTTTAGAATAATGAAAGCTTGATATTTTTTATTTGCTTTTAACATTTAAAACCACATTTGAAACTCCATCTTTTATTCATAGGTGGACAACCAAGCCTAAGAAGTCAACCCAAGAAACTTATCCCAAAGGTTTATTAATCACTTAAACAATTTCGACCCAACCCTTTGTTTGGCATTTTGAAATCGACATTTTACTTTATCGTGTTTGGAAAGATAATGATTTGAAATAAATTAAATTAAATTTATTTATTTGGATGTTTGAGAAAATACAAATTTTATTTATTTGGGCTTTTAATCTAAATTTATTAATTAAATGTTAAAATATGTAATTTATTTTAAAATTCTATGAAATCTTATCAAATAGACCACTACAAAATTCATTTAAAATCATGAGGTACCAAACAACAACTCTGAGTGGGTGCTGAAATCGTTTGCCCCATATCGTGGAATAAACAAAATTTATCTTCCTTTGATGGCTATTATGCAAAAAACAAAAAGTGAGAAGATGATGCATAATACTATAATAGACCTTATGGTGAGTATCACATTGTAAATAATGGACCCATTATCAAGATTCACGGGGAAAAAATGCCAAAAGAGAAATATTGAAAGAGGATTTAAGAGAGACAAGGACATGGTGTTTGTCAAAGCAACTCCGACAAAGCCTTAGATTATTTGAGTTATTCAAGGTAGGGATATCTCGCAACATAAGTCTGAAGCACTTGAAAAATTTGAAAAATTTGAGTACAAGATTGAAGTTGAAAGTCAATTAGGCTGGACGATAAAGACACTTCGATATGATCGAAGGTGGAGAGTGTAATCGATGCCAGCGAACGACTGTCGTACCCAAACTACCTCTGGTTGCCAGTCTCACCACTACATGGTCGTTCGCGCAATAGGGAATCGACCTAATCGGCCCACTCCCTATGAGAAATGGGTCAATAATCGATTTTGCATAATAACAAAACTGTGTGCATGTGCGTGCACATACAAAGACTCGTGTATAACATTGTAACACTTCAGTGTGTGCTTCAAATATTTTGCAGGGACGACTTTGTTTGAGGGAGGGGAGTGTTTCCAACGAGATGACATCCATTGATCGTTCACACAAATGTGTACTATTTTTTTTAGTACAAAAATGCATGTGGAAGTAGAGATTCGAACTCTCAACTTTTTTATCAGTTGCCAGTTGAGCAATGCTCAAATTGGTCATAATTAAAATGTGTTTTCTTATGTGTTAGTATACCAATAACTAAATTTAGCCATAAAGGCGAATCTAAGCATAGCAAATGACATCGAGGTTTTAATCTCCAAAACTTCACTGGTACTAAAAAAACATTTAATTAAATAGTTTTCTTTTATCGACGTGGCTACTAACTAAAACGTCCGATATGTAGATTATGAGCTAGACTCGACTTGGGTCTCAAGCGACCGAGGTAGAAAGTCCAGGTATGCTCGTCTTCTAGATGACTCATGACAGGCTTTTTTGGATCGAATCGACCTCTCTAGTGGGGTCTAAGGTACTATCACTTCAGTATATAAATCTATGTGTTGACTCATCATGACTGTCTTATCACGTGTTGATACAGTGGTTGGTAGAAATCACTTCGAACATATATTGACCACTATTAAAAATTTGATAGTTATATATTTGTTTAAACATACAAACTATCTATCTTTTTTTTTTTGTATTGTATTTATCTAACAATGATGGACAAAAATATAGATGCTGACCAACAAATATTATTCCAACATATTAAACTATAATATAAGGTTATGAGTTGTTTCACCCGCTTAATTACGAGAGATAGTTGACCCTAACCTTAATTATGATAAAATAGGAATAGACCACATTAACAAAAATCAAGGGGATCAAAGACACTTATCCCTAACTAAGATGAATTTGATGTTTTATTTTGATATAATTTAAATTTTATTTTAGTACATCCACTCCTTGGTTTTTTCTATTTCGGTTGAAGTAATATTTGTGATTTAACTTTAATTTATTTTAATTCATACCCTTCCAAAACATTCCTTTATTATTTTTTTCGAGGCAGATATTCATTCAAATTATGTACTTTTAATAGTACGTAACTAAGATGAATTTGATGTTTTATTTTAATATAGTTTAAATTTTATTTTAGTCCATCCACTCGTTGGTTTTTTCTATTTTGGTTGAAGTAATATTTGTGATTTGTACTAAAATATATATATATATATATATATATATATATATATATATATATTTGTGATATAACTTTAATTTATTTTAATTCATACACTTTCAAAATATTCATTTATTAATTTTTTCTACGCAAACATTTGTTTGAATTATGTACTTTAAATAAAAGTGATCATTATTGTTTTTATTTATAAGATATTAATAAAAAGTATATACAACTAAAACATTTTAACACAAAAATTATGACATCATTTCAAGACATGGATCAAGGTACTAAAAGTGTGATTGAAAAAATGAGATAAAAAATATTTAAAAATAAACATTTTTAAAATATAGAGACTATAGATATTTTTAAAGTACAAAAATTAAAATGGACAAAAATTGAAATGGTAATAATTAAGAGAAAATATTTTGACAGTTGAGTAATTAAAACAAATAAAAGTTGAAATCTAATATTTTGAATCCTGTGACATGAAGAAGTAGAAAAGATTGGTATAAAATGGTAAAAATAAAAAGTAAAGGAAAAAGCATAAATAATTGAGTTTAAAGGGACTTATTAAATGAAATAAGGTTCGATTTACCTATCTGTAATCTTAATGAAAACTTTCCTTTCCATGATAATTATAGAAATCGAATCAAATGGTGACTTTATAATAACACGAGAGTAATAACATTCTCATTGTGATTTGTGGTAGGTGAACAACAACGAAAAAAGAGAGAATAACAACTTATTGTTCTTGGCTTGTACAATATTCGACGAGGGTAAAGCAAAGCATAAAGCATGCCTTTGTTCACACTATACGCATAAAGCACTGCGGTTTGGTCTATAAATCGTCTCCGGTTTTATTTACCTTTTTACTCCTAAATCGAAAAAAGTCTAAAAAGGGCACAAAAAGCGAAATGAGTGCTCGGTTTGGAGCCAATAGGAACAGGAATAGGGCGGTAATTGCTATTCCGAGTTTACTGCGAAAGGCGCTCTATTCTATTTGCCGCGCCTCTGTCCCTCCTCCAATCTCCATCTCCAGCTTACCAAGCTCATCGACATCAACCATGGCGGCTAATACTGAGACCCTTAAAACCAAGGTTTGCGTTGTCGGAAGTGGGCCCGCCGCCCACACTGCTGCCATTTACGCCGCCCGTGCCGAGCTCAAGCCTATTCTCTTCGAAGGATGGATGGCCAACGACATCGCCCCTGGCGGCCAGCTCACTACCACATCCGACGTCGAAAACTTCCCTGGTTTCCCCGATGGCATCCTCGGCATCGAACTCATGGACCGTTGCCGCAACCAGTCCCTTCGCTTCGGCACTCAGATCTACTCCGAGACTGTAAACAAGGTCGATTTATCATCCAAGCCATTTAAGGTCTTCACCGATTCCAAGACCGTCCTTGCCGATTCCGTTATTGTTGCCACTGGTGCGGTTGCCAAGCGTTTGACCTTTCCTGGATCCGGTGAAACGAATGGGTTCTGGAACCGAGGTATTTCGGCTTGTGCTGTCTGTGATGGCGCTGCGCCGCTTTTCAGAAACAAGCCCTTGGCGGTCATTGGGGGCGGAGATTCTGCCATGGAAGAAGCCACTTTCCTCACCAAGTATGGCTCCAAAGTGTATATTATCCACCGAAGAGACACCTTCAGAGCTTCTAAGATCATGCAACAGCGGGTCTTGAGCAACCCTAAAATCGAGGTGATCTGGAATTCCGTGGTTAAGGAAGCTTACGGCGACGCTGATGGACGAGTCCTGGGAGGCCTGAAGGTCCATGATCTGGTCGCTGGAAAGGTTTCCGACCTGAAGGTTTCCGGATTGTTCTTCGCTATTGGTCACGAACCAGCCACCAAATTCTTAGATGGACAACTCCAACTCGATTCTGATGGCTACGTGCTGACGAAGCCAGGGACGACACACACCAGTGTTCGGGGAGTCTTTGCGGCCGGCGATGTTCAGGATAAGAAGTATAGACAAGCTATCACTGCTGCTGGAACGGGTCAGTAAAAAGCTTTCCGTTTCCATACTCATTTTTCCTTTCCCTGTTTTATTTCTTCTTTCTCAACGTCAAAAATGTCTCTCAATTGATAACGGGCTAATACAAACCAATGAACGTAAGACATGGACATAAGTGAGGTTAAAGTTCAGGATAAGTATATTAGTTAAACAATAAACAAATGAAGATGATTTTTCTTTTGAGGTCGACTTATTCTTCTAACATTTGAGTATATGTGGAAAGATATGCTCCAGTTATTTCCTCTTTCCTTTGTTATTTCAATAGGAAACGTTCCTTATTTGCTTATGCCTATTTGGATGCATATGAGATCAACATCTTTATAGTTGTCCTAGGGGTGGGAAGCAGAACTTGGCTAAACTCAATATATTGTTCAACCTAGTTGGACTTTCCTGCATCTGCCTTTTCTCTTCATGAAGGGAGGCACTTCTCCATTCATTCTGATACATAAGGCAGAGATAGGAGGGGGGATTACTCGAGGATGGTAGAGAAAGGTGCGGGTGTGTGAGGGGAGATTAGACAATTAAATTTCAGGTTTCTGAGTAATATAAAATTTTGTGAGTTGGAGCATTGAATTATTTTAGCTTATGTCTTATTATTATTGTTCTAGACTAAGATCAGGTATCATTCTCACGATCCTCAAGAAAAATTGATCATAAATTTTGATGTGAAGGTTGATTGTATGCTTGATATATGTCAACCTTCTAGTTGGCTCGATGGCATTAAAGAGATGGTTTTCTTTCCTAATTATTCTTAGTTTGTTCCCACAAGGTTAGGAAATAATTTTACTTTATGGGGGAAATATGTAAATAAATGGGTTTATGCGGTTAGAGTTATCAATAATGGAAGGAGGGGTTGTTTCACTCTACTGTTTGGCAAGAATCTGTTAGGATGGGGGAAATTTTGTGGTACTAATAGATATCTTCCTACGGAGAAAATCTTCAAATGATGAGGATATGTTTGAGAGTTTGGATGATTTCCTTAATGGCTGATAAGTAGGGATAGAGAATCAATGATCATGCAGTAGAGATTGATTGGTAATCTGTTGCAACAATACTAGGTAGGACTTTCATGAAACTTATTCTGACGTTTGAGGAGGTCGTTAAAGCCATGTCACATTTCTACTTAGACCTAAATAAGTTCTAGGCCAATAGGGTCTTTTATCGTGATGTGATTTTTTTGTGCCCTGTGACATGCCCAACCTCGCCATGTAAACTTCTATAGATATCTCGTCACTCATACTCACATGGTCTACCACTTTGTTGTTAGTCACCCAATTGCAGGACGAATCTGACCACTAAAATTTTCACCCAGTTTGCCTAGTGAGCTTAACACTACACCTTGTATGAATGCTACAGAAGTAAGACGAGAGAGTCAGGAGAGGGAGTAGCTTGGACACACTTTAAAAAGAGCTAATTTCTTTCTTTCATTAGAGAAATTTGTACACTACACAATTGTAGCGACAACGTGACCATATTAGCTTCGAACCCTTCACTAAGTACAACTCTCCTTATCAGTAGATGCTCTTCTCGCTGTAGAGTGGGCCATAATTATGTGCCACTGCCAAGCTCTCTATAGAGAGCTAGGATGGTTAACACAGTTAGTCACCGAAGGAACAAGAGCAAGAAGGGTGTCAAATATGTCCAATACCCCACTATGTAGTTGAAAGCTTCCCACATTGGTAGTGGATTATGTGCCACTGCCACGCTCTCTATAGAGAGCTAGGATGGTTAACACACTTAGTTACTGAAGGGACACGAGCAAGAAGGGTGTCAAATATGTCCACCACCCATGTTCTTTACTTTTAGGAAATGTGTAGGTAGGAAGCTTTTGGACGGTGCCATGCGGAAGGAACTTTGCTGAACTACCGACCATCTTCATGCTCTCTAGAATTTATGCCACTTTTTTGCCTCTTCTTAAACCCCATATCGACAGTGCTCTCCATTGCCCATGGAAAGGCAACTGGCGTGCACATTGCCTGCCTCGTCTTGCACTTTACGCGAATTCCAGTATTATGCCTTTGCTTTAATGTTAACGTTACAAGCCTTTTCTAACTCTAGTAATCGAGTCTCAAAGCCAACCCTTTCTCTTCCCAAGTATTCTCTCTTCGTGTGGATAAATTATATTTACTTTTGAAGTTTGGTTAATTATTTGGTCGTCAAGTTCAAAAAATTAGCAATTCAGAGTCTTTTGGTTTGAGAAGTGACTCAATTTGGGCTCGTTACATGAATAGGAAGCTACCAGATATGTTAAACATTAACCTGGCATGCCATTGTTGTTCTTTTACTAATAATTAGTAATGTTTTTTCTTACTTGAAGTTAATAAGACAAATGGGACTTACCTTGTTTTTAATCTGCGCCCCATTTGCCCCCCTTAAAAGAATTTATTTTTGTACAAAAACAATTTCTTTCTTTAACACACGATGTTTTGATTTATAAAGTGAAGCTGCTTGCTATCTGCTGGCTCAGACTTTTTTCGTCACTGGTACAGGTTGCATGGCAGCATTGGATGCAGAACACTACCTGCAAGAAATTGGGTCTCAGGAGGGTAAGAGTGATTGATTTTAGAATATGCCTGGGTTTCCAAAAGTTGAAGCCAATGCCCCAACGTTAAGTATGACTGTCAAGGGAAAGCTTGTTGTGGACTGTCAATACTTATTGATTAGGCAAGTTGGGGGAAGGGATACATGAGCAAAATATTATTGCATTTTCCAAGTAGGTTATTTGGGGATCATTGCATAACTTCTAGACTTCTATTTTCGAGGAGGAACCATTTGAATTATGCTTAGATTGTCATTAGCAACTTGTGCTTTGCATTTATGAGTAATTGAACATTTGATGAGTTAATTTTGCAGTGTATAAAAAAAAAATAGAAAAGTCGAAACTTAGATCTTCATGCTTTCTGTTTCACCATTTTCACATAGATTCATAATCATATCACCGACTGGTGGTAGGTAGTGGGTTTGTGGCTGAATGGAGATACTCYCCTCCTCGGTTTGAGTCTCATGAGGTGCGTAGCCAAGACTTTTCCGCGTCCCTCAACGTTGGTTACAAAGTTGGGTGGCCGTTGGCACTCCCCGATTATAGGGATCCAACTGGCAAAGTCACAAGATATCGATTCTAGATTATCAACTAAAAAAACATAGATTTATAATCATGGTTCACAAAATGCTTATTATTATTTTTTGAGTGAACAATAAGATGTTTATTTAAAAAATTAATTATCAGCATAATTTTAAGATTTGTAAACTTTAAAACACGAGTATTGAGCATTAACATGTCTAAACAGAAAAAAAGAAAACATGTAAGTAACAAATGACATAATGTTATTTTCACATGTTTTATCAATTAATTATTCATTCCATAATAATTTATTGAAGGAAAACTTAATCTAAATTTAGTATCTTATATTATATTCCAGAATTAAATTGTATAAAAATAAATATTAACAAAATAACAAGAAATTTTGTCCAAAACAGTTTTTACATAAGAATTTAAATTGTACTAAAAAAAAAAAAAAAGAAAAAGAATACACCTAGCTCTCTCCTAAATTCTATCCCTCAGATCTTGTTCTATACTCAATACTCAGACCCGTCGGCGGCCACCAATCTGTCCGTCGCCCACCGCCGGCCTCCCATCTCTCTCGTTAAGTAGGCCCGCTCGATTTATTCTCTCTTCAGGCACGCAATCATAGCACATACGAGGTGACAACATCGACAATAATCAGTGTTCGTCTTTTAGTTTCAATTTCGTTGTCTCACGAGTCACGATTGATCATTGATAGCTTCCTTGAATACCAGTAATTCGCTTCACCTATAGTTTCACTTTTTTTGTTCTCTCAGGAATTTTGTGTCCTCGCCCCTATTTTTTCACCCCGAGTCCTCCAATCCCTAAAATTGCTGTTGGGTTTTGTGTATGAGCCACCGCTTGCCTTTTCTGGTTATATCTCAGATTTGTGGTCAATATGTCCAGGTAACACCTCCATGACTTCCTCTATTTTGTAGATCTATGATGGTTGTTTGGATTCCTTTCTCCATTTTCAAATATTTTCATTTTGGCATTCCATTAACGTAGCACCTTAATTATTTGGTGAACTGGTTTGATCTTTCACTTTGGAGTTTGCATAGCTTCAATGGGATGAATGATTTTTGCTTCTAAGTTACGGCGAATGGTTTAATCTGAGTTTTCTATTTCTTTCATTTTCTATTCAAGCCTAGCTGGGAGGTATAGTTGTCGTTTGGAAGAACTGAGAACCGCACTGGTAAGAATTAAACCAGTTGGTCTCCTACACTATCAGTTCAGTTGCGACTTATTATGTGGAGGAGTATAGAAGGATGAAAGGAAAGGATCAATGCTTAAAATTGATTTAGAAAAAGTTTATGATCATGCTCATTGGGAGTTTCCTCAAGCCAGGTTCTGGAAGAAGATTTTGGGTCTAGATGGATTTCATAAACTATAGTCTGGCCAACTAAAGCTAAGTTCTTGATTTTCATGAATGAGGGGCCCAGAAGGTAGATTTTAGCTATTTGAGGTCTGAGACAGCCACGGAGATCCTACTTCTCACTTTTAATTTCTGTTGACTGGTTAATAGTTCTTTGGAGGAGGGGGTACTCTCTACCCCTGCCCTTAGGTTGTCTACTTTCGTGGCTTTAGTACAACCATTTTCAGTTTCTTATCCCCCCCCCAAAAAAAAGAGAAAAAATCTGTGTTGACTGGCTGATTATCTGGGGGTTGAGTCAGTAGTGTCAGAAGGCTTCTAGAAATTTACATAGGATTTTCACCTTTTTTTCCCAAAATAAAACTGAACTTTCATTGAGAAGTGAAATAATACAAAAGGGCATACAAAGAAAATAGCCCAACAAAAGGGAGCCAAACAAAAAGAATGGATTCCAATCAAGCAGTAGGATTTTCACCTTACTCATTTTCAGTTTGCTGACAACAGATTATTTTTGAAAATGAGGAAGCTGTAAGAATGGTAGGATTTCCAGATTGAGTTTTTGAACAAGGTAGCTGCAAGAAAAGGTAGGGTTCTTAGAGATTTCTTTTGGGATAAGGGAGAGGGAAAATTAAATCAGCGAGATGAGACTTCACGGCTAGGCTGGTGGAGTGGGGTGGTATTGGCAAGATAGGAATGAGAAATGAAGCATTATTGGGTAAGTAAATATGGAGATTTTGAATGGAATGGTAGGAATTTTGCCACAAAGTTATTGATAACAAGTGTGGAGCAGGTCCTTATTACTAATTTTATTTATTTTTCTTAAGAATTTATAAGATGTGCTACCCCCTTTCTCATCATTATAGCTTTACTAATCTACTATCCAATTGGAGACTTTTTTTTTTTAACTCCTTTGGATGGGGTTCTCCCCTTTTTGTAATTTCATATTATCAATTAAATTGTTTCTCATAAAAAAAAAGTACGATATGCTACTAGTACCTTTAGATTACATGAAATAATGTCAATAAAGATTGAAGACAAGTTGTTCTCATGTTTTTTTGATAAAGAGAAGGGAGGGAGATATATAAAGATTATTGAGAGACATATCAAAAGGTATTTTGAGATTGCTGTGGAAGAAATAGCAGTAAAGACGTTTGGAAAACCCGATGTTGACTACCCAGACTCATAAGTTCTTCAGAAAATTGATAAAAGTAATCGTAAAAGGATTTTAATTAACTTCAACTCATACCTATTACCTCATGCACGAACATTCTACAGCTACAGTACACCATAACTAAAATTAGAAGGTGTTTGGATATATATTCATGTATGCTTTATTTGGTACATTTATTAGAAAATAATTTGATGGTTGGAGTTCACACTAAAGAATAGCCATGGGTGAAGAGTTACATCTGAATCCTATTCCTCTGGAGAGTCGACCTGGCATCCTTTTCGTCGGATCCTCAAATGTTGGCAAGCGCTCCCTCCTCTCTAGTAAGTCTCTTTCTCTTGCATCTCTAACTTCAATCTACTTCAGGTCTCATTTGTTGCAGTTTATAAAGTAATAAGCTCATTATTATTAGGCCCTTTGATTGTACCATACTGAAGCTTATTTTATTCCTGCTGTTGGGGGGCTGATGAATTGAAGTTTCTCAATTACTGCAATAGTCCTATGCTATAAAAATGTTGGAATTGCATTTATGTAATAGACAAAAGTGGCCACAATTATATAGAAGTAAACCTTGTATTTGCTAGTTATCCGTTTATTTTCTTCAACGTTTAATTTTCCTTTGCGACTAATGCTGTAAAGTTAGTGGGACTAGTCCTAGATGCATGCATCTTGAAATTCATGGGTTACTGGAAGACACATTGGTAGTTGCAGTAGAGAAACTGATCATTTTGTGTATCCAATGTCTTTCTGATAATTGTAGGATTACTTTCTGTGGACTTTGAAGATGCTTTCGATTCATCCTCTCAGGTTTTGATTCATGGGTAAGCGAATGAAGGAATTTTTCATTTTTCTTCTTCCAGCTATCAATGTAATCCTTTTATGTTCTTGGTCAAAATGAAAATTTACTAGTATTATCTAGCACCCATTTCAAATTTGAAATTAGATTTCTTTTTCATTGACAAACAGTTGGACTATCAATACGCAGTATTACACAGCTGATGTCTCTGTATCAGTGGCTCATTTGGATGAGCAATTTTCCATCGAGGCTTTGCCTACGTTCAATCAGTTGGCTGCCTTGGTCATGGTCTTTGATACGAGTGATGTTAGTCGTTTCTATTGGCATCACGTTATTTGTTTCTTCTCTGATTTAATGTCTGTTGGAAATTAAGTTTCTGAACTACAGCTGTAATAATTGATTGTTTGTTGATGTCATATGTTCTTATGCGTACTACTATCCGTGTCATTGCAGCTTCCATCTCTTGTGGCTCTTCAGGATTGGGTTGCTCATGTTGATCTACAAAAATTTGATGTTTTATTATGCATAGGAAACAAAGTAGATCTTGTCCCAGGTCATCCAGTTCATATTGAGTACAAAAAACAGCTGCAGAAGCAGAGACTTAAAGAATCTTTTATAGATGATCATTCAGATATAGCCGAATATGGAATATCTGAAATTGAAGGGAGTAGTTTATTAGGAGATGAAGAACCCTCGTGGGAAATTAGGAGGTCATGTTTGGAGTGGTGCACTGAACGCAATATTGAGTTCATTGAGGCTTGTGCGTCTAATTCAGATTTTGACAAATGTAAGATCCAGCACTTTTGTGGTCTCTTATCCAAGGTGTTATAGTTCACTTTTAACTTTCTAGGGATAGTTAGTTGGGATATTTTAATGAAACTTCCTTGACAGAGATTTGAGGAACCTATCCCTTTCATATCACATATGTAGAAGTAGCAATCTGACAAGTTTGTTACCACATGAATTCAGCATCCCATTCGTTGTCTTGTTTTCTGTGACATAGTTGTACTATTATCTACAGGTTTATCAATTGATGGTGATGTACAAGGAGTTGAACGGCTCTATGGTGCTCTTTCCGCTCATTTGTGGCCTGGAATGCTTCTAAAATCTGGAGATAAGATTACCAAGCCATCATTACCCAAAGAAGAAGGTTTTTCTTCCCTTTTTTTGGCATTACATTAATCTTCAGTTTTATCGTTTCATTTGTTAGAAAAAATTCTAAAAAGTTTGCCCTTTTTGGTTTTATCCAATCAGAATTGTCAGAAGAGGAATCTGATTTTGAAATTGACTACGAAATACTATCTGGGGGTTCAGCTGAGCTGTGGGATGACGCAGATTATAAGAGTTGCTCTGCAGATGGAGAAGGATCATCCATAGATGGTGGAGCTCGTCCAAAGTACATCGATATTGCCGAGCAGGATCGAGCAAGTCAAAATGTCTGCAAACAGCCAGAGGCTGAAGGAAACCGAGTGGCAGTTGATGAAGAAGTTGATCAAGTGACAGATCCATACGAGAAAAAAAATCTTGATCTTGAGGATTTAGAGCGGTTGATGTCTGAGATAGGGAACATGCGCGACAGTTTGAGGCTGATGCCTGATTTCCAAAGGAGAGAAATGGCTGCAAAATTGGCCCTGAAAATGGCTGCCATGTTTGGGGGCAGTAGTGATGATGAAGAGGAAACTAGATGACAAGAAAAAATTTGGTATATTAATTAAATTTGCTGTCATGGTCATGGGACTATTACAGAAGAGTTGATATGTATAAACCGGGCCATTTTCCGCTCCAAACTTCCATATATTATTATTATTATTTGGGGATAATTATGATTCATGGTTTGTGGATTAAGAAGTGAATTTATGTTTGGCAGGCGAGTTTATTTATTTTGTTAATCTCACTAACATAAAACTTAGCTCCTGTCGCTTCAAGCTAAACAAAAAGACAATTTCGCCCTTAGCCCCTTATTCTGGAAATTTTTTACCCACACACTTGTCATTTGGTTTGGCAAATTGCGTTGCGATGCCCTTCTGTAATTTTGATTTTTGCATGTTCTTTTGTTTATATAAAATAATTCAATAAGATTCTTGTAACCTCGAAATCGAGAGATGATGATATAATATTATCTACGGTCTTCTATTTAGAACGGAAAAATAACCAAGAGCATAAATCTATTGAAAAACAAATCATCCAAAAACTTGCTTTTTAATAAGCTTTTATTGTGAAAGAAAATTAAGCATAAATCTAGCTACTTCCCTTCCCAAATAGATTTGATGTGAGACTCTAACTGTGAATTACGTTCACAAAAATATATCAATTAAATTACAAATTTGGTCATTAGAGTCCATTCGTAATGTTGATGTTTTTCGTTTCTCATTTCTTGTTCCCGTTTGATCAATAATCCTATGTTCTCAAACATTTTTTGATATAAAAAATATAACTAATTATTAAAATATAACAATTTACAAATCATTTTTTTTTTTGGAAATATAGCAATTTTAAGAGTTTTTTTTTTTTTTTTAAACTACTCTCACTTCTACGGTTCTACCAATATACTAGAAGTCTAGGTTTGAGCTCCGGCATTTTCTCTGTTGTTTGTATGTATGTATATTTAACCAATAGAATGCTATATTCTAATTTTTATAGATGAATTTAAATAGAGGTTACTTATTAAAATTTTTATTCCCTTCTAAAATTAAATTAAAGGTGATGAGGGAAAATGTGAGATTTAGATCGCAAATGTTTGAGGTGATGTGTGATAGAAGAGAGTCAAACATAAACATTTGATGAAAGAAAAAACTACGACACGTCAGTGCAGTTTTCACAGGGTTTAATAATGATGTGAACGAGCCACTTCGTCTTATTGGGTTACTACACTCGCTTAATCACGGTCTCGCATTGTTGGGTTACGATTCATCTAGTGACTTCCCATTTCACCTAGTTAGTCTTCTACTTGGGAGCTTTTGGACTCACCCAATCAAGCCCACCTAACTATAAGCTAGTCTCGCTTATTTAAGACAAACGACTTCATTTACCCTTTAGTAGGGTTATACATGTACTAATTACTTTGGTTTCACATAATTGAACTATTATAGCACATAGTAACTTCTAATCTTGTTGGATCAAAGCTACAACCATATGGTAACGTATGTCTCATCCAATAGAACAATGATTAGTATATCTCACCTTATTGATTACATGTAGGTAGTTTATCACTTATTGGATCATGCTAGAGTCTACCTAGAATTGATGATAAATTGCATTTATCGATTTAACTTCTTGAATTCATCACTCATTCAAATTTAAAATTCAATATTGTAAAATTTAAATTAACTCAAGCAACCAAAAATACACGAATACCCCAAGTATGCACCACAGGAGTCAACATATGAATTCTTTCTTTTAAAGAATGGAATTCTTTTGAATAAGAAAAGTTGCAGAATTGTAAGGAGGAATAATGAAGTATAAATAATAGAGCTTTGAATGGTTCCAAGCCTATGAGTGGTGATAAGACATTAGTGCCTAATATCTGTTTTTCTTTGGGTGGTCTAAGAATTTTGTTTTATAAAATTTGGGAATAATTTTTAATTAAAAATGCAATTCAAAGATGCTTTATTTTCTCCCACACAACTATAAATAATAAATCACTCAAACTGCAAACTTTAGCCAAATTTTATTTTAATTTTCGGCTCCACTTTTCTTCTCATCATCAAAATCAAAATTTTATATAGATATATATATTTTAATTTTTTTATCAGTCTGCTTATTAAGAAGTGTAAGTGAATTTGTTATAAATTACAGTTTAGGGGTTAACTCGGTTGAGTTAGTTCAAAAACAGCTGATTTATATTTGTGTATTCATAATAGCTTATTTAAACCCACAGTTTTTTGTATCTGAGGCAATAATAATCATTTTGTGATCAATTACTGCCAAGTTGAATTATGTATTAGATGCTTTGTTTGTGGGCTTATAATAAAAGTGTGCAAGCCTTGATTAAAACCCATTGGTTTATATGATTTAGAATCATTTAGTTTGCGGGATTAATAAAATCATATTCTAAACCAAACAAACAGTCAAACACTTTTAAATTAAATTATAATTTTAGTATCTATACTTTATCATAGTCCTTGTACTTTTATTTGTGACACTTTAATTTCTATCATCCTTATCGTTAATTATTCTCTTTATCAAAAAGTTGATATGATGTTATTTATATGAAAATTGACAAAGGCGCACAACTTTATGTTTGCATTATAAGCTAACATACGGCAATATCAAAGCGTCAGGTCAATTTCCTATGTAATATTTTAAATGGCTTATGCCTTTCTAAAAGTAAGGTAAAGCAAAATGAAACAAATGAAAGTACAAGAATCAAAAGGTTATTATAAAGTAATAAAGAAGATAGAAGAATAGAATCTTGCTTTACAATTTTGATATTTTTGTTTCTGTTGTGGTAAAGAGAAGAGAATTTTAGTTGATGCATAATATATAGGAGAATAAAGGGAAGATGTTTTCTTTTTTTTGGAAGCAAATCGTTCTTTCGTAAAAAAAAAGAAAAGAAAAAAGGGAAAACTAAATTTAAAAAGATAGGTAGATTAGTGAAGATCATTAGCAAGCAAGACCAAGACATGAAGAAAAGAGATAAAGAGATATAAGTGCAAAAACAGGTTGGAGGCATCAAAGGAAGGGATATTTGGCAAAAATATCAACCAAAGCCAAACACAAATGACAAACCAAAAGAAACCAACATCTAAAAGGATAAGGAATACATCACAACACCCACAACCTAAACCAAATAATAATTATAATAAATAATCTTAAATTATACTTTTGCTTTAATTTGGTTATATTTCTATATTTTAACATAATGAAATGGAAAAAGAAAAAAAAATGACGATGCTGATATGGACTAATGTAATTTCGATAAGATTAACTTTGAGTAAATTTAAAATGACTTTTGAAGGGGTGAAAATTTCAAAAGTTTCATATTATTTAATTAGATAATAAGAGTGATTTTTGAAAATTTTAAAATACACTTAATTAATTATTTATTTTAGTAAACTTAATTAATTTTTTTAATACTTCACTTAGAAAGTATTTTCTTTTGAAAAAAATATTCCAAACTCATTATTTGACTTATTAGTATATGGATTTTTTAAATTAATAAATTAAAATAAAAGAATGGATAAAAAATTAATAAAAAGTCAAAATATATAATTTAGTTCAACCATTGTCTGTTACATGTTGTCACATGGCTGTAAGTTGAAATCCACTCTCTTATATATTGTACTACAAAAAATTGTTTTTATCTTTTAAAAAACTTCAATTTTATATTTTATGTGTTCATTATTTTTAATTAAACTTTTACTATTGCAAAAGGTCAAAATCCAGTAACAAAATGAAAATGTGATATCAAAATGTATTTTATTAATTGAGTTGAAAAAATCTCAATTTCAATTTGATTAAATAGATATGTTCCTCCATAAAAAAAAAAAAAATCCTAATCCCTTCACATCATGACCCAATCTAAAATTATTTAAGAACGTTGTTATACTAACCATGGACAATCTCGTTAAAGAAAAACATTTT